TAAAAAAAAGAAAAAAGAAAATTACAACTAAAACATTGAATGCCCATCACTCAGAACCATTAGGAATTGAGTTGAATGGAAATCTGACAACTACAGAATTAAAGAAACCACATCCATCCAGACTGGTAGGAGGGGCACAGACTCAGAACAGACTGGTCCCACACCCACACATGGTGGATAAAAAGTCAGGAAGGATATCTCGGGAGTGAGAAGTCCCAGGTGCACACCAGGCCCCCTAGCCCAGGGTGCCAGTGCCAGGAAGATAAGTGATGCAGACACCGGCCTGCAGTGTCCAAGTCATTATGGATGAAATGAGACATTCACACGGACTACTGAGTCTGGTGGAGGGAAAGGGACAGCACGGCTTTTCTCTCAAGGGGAGCAAAAGCCACGGCCCCTGCCATGACAGGCCTTTTTTGGGTTTCTCTGCCCATTACATGATGGTCCTCATTTACTATGCACAGGTTCACTTTAGGTGGTTACCTTTTACAGAAAACAAAGGAGAATATGCTGGTAATCACATCACAGAAGAGGGATATTTGCAAATGAAAAGGCAAAAGTAGCTGAACCAGTTACACTCATCCTTGGAAGGTTTAGCATGGATTTTAGGAAGTTGCTTTGCATTAGATGTCCTCAATTCAGGATGAGGGAGTTTTAGCAAAAAGCAAGACTCATAGCAGCGTAGGTACATTGCAGGCCTGATTACCCATGGGAGAACCTAACTGTGGGTGTGGTTCCTTGTGCATCTCCTAGTGGGAGCTGGGTCCACACCACGCAGAACAGTCTCCTACAGTGAGCCATGGCCAGTGTGCCTGAGTTGGTCAGAACATCTTCCCTTAACTAAAAAGTTGTGGGTTTGATTCCTGGTCAGGGGACATGCCTGGGTTGTGGTTTTGGTCCCTGGTCCAGGTGTATAGGATTCCTGGTTTGGGTGCATGTGGAAGGCAACCAATTGATGTTCTCCTATGTCTATGTTTCTCTCTTCCTTCCTCTCTCTCCTGAAGTAATGAAAAAAGAAATGTCCTTGAGTGAGCATTTGCAAAAAAAGGGAAGGTGAGAAATTGGTTTAGACTTGGTCAACCTGTTCCCATCTCACAGTCAGTGAGTCCTTAGGCCCAAGGTGATGGTCTGTGTCATACAGTAACTTGGGAAAATCTGATAACAGAAGCTTCATTTATTCAGCTATTTCAACAGGGGTCTGGAGGCCACCGGAATCTCTGATTTTTTGAGAATGTGCTCCCACAGTGAGCTCTCACCAGCTTTTCCCACTCCCCCATTCTCCCCAACCCACTGTCACCAATGCACATTAAAAAGAAAAAAAACAGAATTGAGAGCTTTTATTTCCATGGGATGTAGAATGTGAAGAAATCACTTGAATCACAAGAAAGAACAGCTTTTCACTCATCAAGGTTTGGAAATCAAGGCCGTAAACAAGAGGTGATTCTGAAGGTCGTTTGAACCACAGGCTACCCTCCTAGACTTCCCCAGGATGCCAGCCTTTACCAATGCCCCCCGACCCCAACCCTTAATGCCTCAAGTTCAAAACTTCAAGGAGGCACACTATGAGCCAGCCCCCACCCCACGAGCAAGGGTAGCTACTTCATGGCTGAAGATAACTGCAGTGAAAAAAATAGAGAAGAATCCCTGCTGCTGTGTATCTATGAGGGTCTAGCAATTTGATGGTTTGAGGCATCACCACTGCACCTCACCTGTATTACCCAACATTTCTGCTCAGGCACTTCCTTTGGGCATCTGGTCACCAGATACATGTGGTTCTGAGGAGGCCCCAAATCTTCAGAAAAGCACACACCTACTGTTTAGGAAGAATCCCTTTAGCCGTCTGGCAAGAGAAAGAGATATTTAATTCACTCCCGGTATGGACTCAACTGGCAAGCCCTGGGCCCTGTTAGCCCTACAAGAAATGGCAGAAGCATTTCCAATAATCCTTTGAGGACATCTGTCTCCTCTCCATACATGCTGCCATGTTTCTCTCTTCCAGAAGGATGTGCAGATGAGCCCAAGGATCCCAGGCATCCAGGGAGGGTTTGGCTGGCTGCCATGTGTTCCTGGATGATAGCAGGGACTCTGTCTGAAGTAAAGACCATGTCCATGGAGTCGGAGTTATTGCCTAAATTTGCTCAGAGTGTACATGTTGCTCTTGTAACTGAATTTTTAAAGAAGGAACAGATTTCATGGCTTTCCTCTGCAACAGAGGTGATATATAAGAAATCAACATAGAAAGGCCTGAGAATTATTTTCAGAGGAAGAGAATCCAAGGTTGAATTCAGTTTGTAAATTATTCATATGACTGCTTAATATTTTAAATATTTCTGTACCACTTAAATTTTTACCATATGTATATGTACTTCTACCTGAAACATAAGGAAAAAAATAAGAGAAGAGTACTTTAGTCAGCTGCAGGAAGAGCCTGGCCCATCCAGCATACAAATCTCTGTCCTTCAGATTAACTTGATTAGCAGTAGCCACAAGTGCCGACTGTGCCTGCTGATGAATTATAGCTTTTCAAACACTCAGTTTGGGTGAAAATGGGAAATCTTTAAGGTTTGATGTTCTGGTTCTTACTAATGAATTTCTGTATCAAATCACTCAGAAATTATAACTTATAGAATTTATTTTTTGTAAATCGTAGGTGTATCTAGTTTATACCTTAGAATTTTTTATTGCAAGATTTTCATGTATTATTTAATGTTTTTGCAGGACTTTTATAACTTCTTTGTAGAGATATGTAAAAATAATAATTCTTTAATTGAAAAAAAAAAAAGAGGTGATTCATGGAGCTCTTTTCCTTAGGGGCCAGACCTCAAACTTTCTACCATGGTTCCTACCTCAGTACCTTTTATACTGTTTGGGAAATACAATTAAAACAAAATCTCTTCCCAATCAAAAAAAAACTTCTCCACAAAGTTTGAAGAGAAAGAAAACAAATTTATTGTTGAATAAAGATTAAATCAGAATGCTTTCATGGATATCATAGGTATTACCTAAAAAATAACAAAATCAGAAAGAAATCTCACCCTTTTATATAGCTGGTGTGGGCTGAAATTTTTCCCTTCAAAATTCTAAAGTCTCAATACTACCCCAGCACCTCGAAATGAGACTATTTGGAGATAGGGCCTTTAAAGAGGTGAGTGACTAAGTTAAAGTAAGGCCTTTAAGGAGGGCCCTAACCTAATCTGACTGGCAACTTTATAAGAAATTTGGACACATAAAGTTACCAGGCATATGTGTGCACAGAGGAAAAACCCTATGAAGACAAAATGAAAAGGCAGCCTTTTGCAAGCCAAGAGGAGACCTCTGAAGAAACCAAACTTGATTACATCTTGTTCTTAAATTTCTAGCCTCCAAAACTGTGCAAAAATATTGTTGCTTAAGCCACCAAATCTGTTATGCATTTATGCATAAATCATACATTTATGGCAGCCTGAGCAAACTAATAACCACACAGATACAATGCATTACACATATATTCTCAATATAAACAATAACTAGCCCTCAGCTAAGAGGACTTTACGGCACCATTGGACACAAATAGTTCATCCTAGATTCACCTGGTGAGGGTGCCACCCATGTGTTAATTGGCTTTAACCAAAGGAAAGATAAACTGAGATCATAAAGGAGGTAGTTTAACAGCTTGAAGTGAGGCACCACTGAAGTTAGGCTCCCCTTGTCCCACAGCAGGGCTGCTGTCCCCCTTGATGATCATATTTTTGGAGAGACGGCTCACAAGACAGATGGTGGTGGCTGTGATACAACAGTGTGAATGTACTTAATGGCACTGAACCATACCCCTTAAAATGACTGAAATGGTAAATTTTATATTATATATGTTTTACCACTATAGAAAAGAGAAATATGATCCCCAGGTTTTTGAGAAAGACATTCCTGGGTAGAAAAGTGGCAAGATGCTTTTAAACATCTACATCTCCAAGGGGCAGGGGAAAATTTGTTTTCTAAAAAAATGCTCTAAGGAAGGGTAGGAGTCTTTTACTGCCAACAGGCAGAATTAAGTCTTTTTATTTTATATTTTACATTCAATATATTAAAACTTAAAAACAGTTCACCCTTTCTCCCACCTTCTACCTTCCACCTACTCTGGCATCCACCAATCTGTTCCCTGTACTGACCAGCTTAGTTTCATTTTATTTTTAGATTCCCCATGTAAGAGACATCATATGGTATTTACTGTTGTCTGTTTTATTTAACTTAGTACAATAGCCTTGAGGTCCGTCTATGTTGTTGCAAATGGCAAGATTTCATTGTTTTTATGGCTAATATTCCACTGTAAACAGCGTGTCACAAAAGTAGGTTTACACTTGTACATGTGGAAAATAATGTAATAACTATTAGATAATAATACAAGAATAGACTGTATGTTTCACATCCTCACAAATCCTAAACCTACTTTCCCCCCAGCTTGTTTATAACAGAATTTCTTTATCCATTTATCCATCGAATCCCGCTGGGTCCCGGTCGCTTCTTCCCCTTACATCCCTTTCTTTCCACCCCAGACCCCGCCCCCGCAATCAGCTTCAGAATCAGTCTCTCTTCTTCCAGCCTTCCTCCGGAGGCCACCCCTTTGGTTCCCCGACCGCCGGCCGTGCCATCCCCCTCGAGCAAAGCCCTCGTTCCATCTTCACGGCTCCGCAAACCCCTCCAGCCACTTTCCATCCTCCTTTCTGTCGTCCTCAACTTCAATCCAAACTGCGCTCCCACCCTTTCCAGGGAACCCTAGCCTGCTCCGCGCAGCTCCAAAACCAACTATTGTTTACAGACAGTGCTATTGCTCCACCAATCCGGTAAATTTTCCGTCAAACCTGCCCCGACAGCCAGTTTGACGGAAGTGGTTGTTTTCAAGGGTTCCTGGGATAGTCAGGTTAATTTCCACCCTCGGTGGCACCTTCTTTTGATTGGCTCTCAGGGAACAGGTCCTAAACGTCACTTCCTGAGGAAAAGGACGCGGGAGATTCGATTGGAGGGGGCTTGGCGAGAGGCTGTCTCTGGCTTGGCGAGAGGCTGGCTGCAGCCTGCCTGCTTTTCTGAGCGTTCGGTGGGCCGGGTCCGCGACCTCCTCCTCCGGTGAGTAGCTGTGGGAGCAGGTTCTCGGGGAAAGCGAAGGCGGGAGACTCCTAACGAACACCTTAACGTCATTGTGAATGAGACTCAGAGCGTCTTTGTTATTTTTATTGGAGTTAGCCTTTCTATGCGAGGGTGGTCTTAAGTGAGAGTTGAGAGTGAATAAGACAAGCATTTTAATTTTAGACAGTGCTATTGTAATCGCTCATCCAGCGTTTATTGATCGTTTACTGTGCTGTCGAGTTGCACACGGATAAGTGTCAGAAACTAGAAATGCAAAAAAGGAAATGGTAATACTCCAGCTTTTGAGGTGCTCGAGATATATTTTCAGCTAGCTGCTATGCGACAGTAATAGGTGCTGAAAAATGGGTCTTTTCCACATTGCTTTGGTGGCCCTGAGGGAAAGATGATTAACTGAGCGGTGTGCGCAAACCAGAAGCAGGAAAGGTTTCTAGATTCCTTCCTTATCGCTCACATCTAGTCGGTTGCAGCGCCTGCTACATAGCTATAACAATAGCCTCCCAGCTGGTTTTCCTTCTTTCAGTCTTGTTACATTCCAAGCCAATCTCCACAATGCTAGGCTGATAAAGCTCAAATCTGATCAGGGCACTCCGAATTTAAAACTTTTCAGTCACTGCTGTTTTTCCTCAGATTTAAGTCTAAACACCTTAATGTGGTTTACAGGGATCTTCTTGTCTGGCCTTTCTCTACCTCTCCCAACTTTTTTCACCACTTTAGCCCTAGGTTCCAGCCACACAGAATGTCTTTTCAAGTCCTCAAATGCGCCATCCTCCCTCACCTCCAGTTATTCATTCTGCAGATAATTTTTAAGTGCTTCCATCCTCTGTGCCAAGAACTGCTAGGTACTGTGATTACAATGGTTAACAAGGGACACTCCTGTCTTAATGGAATGTAAACCTTTGACAGATGGACTTGAGAGGAAAAACAGGAGAACCTATTGGAATTAGGTTGATCTGAGAAAGCCTCTCTGAGAAGTTGACACTCAAATTGAGGCTTAAGAGATGAGAATGATCCAGCCATTCAACAGAGGAAAGGAAGAACCTTACAGGGTGAATGGGTTGTACAAAGGCCCTGAGGCATCTTCATGGTCAAGAACCTAAGAAATAAACAATGTTTCTGGAATATATTCAGAAAGTACAGTTGTGTGATATGAGTCTGGAGAGATCGGAAGAGACCAGACCACTTAGGTGCCTAATGCAGCAACATAAGCAGAAGATGATGAGGGTTTGCATTAAGGTGGTGGCAGAACATGGGGTGGAGGGTGAATGATGGTTTTTAGTTATGAAAATAGATTCCAGCATTTACCTATGGGTGTAATGTGGGACTTGAAGAAAACAGAGGAATGAAGGATGATTCCTAGGTATCTGCCATGAGTTACTGGTGGAGAGTAGTGCCATTTACTGAAATGAAGAAAAGTACAAGAGGTTAAGAGGAAACTAAAAATTAAGGTTTTTACTTTAAACCTTGAGATTTCTATGATACATCCACATACAGTTGGCACTCAGATAAGCAGTTGAGATATGGAAGTCAGGGACTTGTACCTTTGTGGCACTTCATTGACAGTTATACATTGTCTTAGCCAATAGATTATAAATTCCTTGAACACAAGAAAGAGCCTGTTTTTCCTGTTTGTAAGCCTGTCCCCTTCCACATCCCTAGAATAGTACTCTACCTATCATACATGCAGTGGACAACTGTGTGTTGTATTCACTACACACAGGATAGTGTTTCAAAAATATTTTTCACCAATAATTTTCCAGACAAAAGAGGTTTTTGTTTCTTTGTGTTTTGCTTCTTTAATTGTCTATCTCCTGCCTTCCTCTCCCTTCCCTTCCTAGAATTTTCATGTAAGGTTAGTAAATCATTTCTCAGGGACTTGTTATTACTGGCTTTAGAAAAATTAGTCAAAGTGTGTGCCATTAGATAACACCTTAGTTCCTGTTTGTATCCCATAGGTTAGGTGTTTATTCTATAAAACACTTTTGTGTAATTTCTCTCCTCTGATCATCTTTGAAAATAGTTATATGTCATTATTTGTGACGTTATCAGACCCACTACTCTCCCATGGCTGATGTGACACAACTCCCAGCTGTTTCAGGAAAGGACCTACTTCTACACTCACAGGACCAGAGCTGATGTGATCAGACCCCCTGCTATCTCAGGGAAAGGTCCCTCCCATCACTCACAAGAATTAGAGGTGATATGACCCCCAAATCTCTCAGGGACAGGCCTTTCCTTGCACTCACAGGACACAGGTGATGTGATAGGACACCATGCTTTTACAGGATGAGACCCCTCTCCACACTCACAGGACTCGGGGCTAATGTCACAGGTGCTTCTACTCTTTCAGGCTGGACTCCTTCCAACCCTCACAGAATCCAGAGATGATGTCAAAGGATTCCCCATATTCTCTCAGGTGAGTCCACATTCCATAATAGATAAACAGAGCCAATGTTTAAGGATCCCCATCTCTTTCATGAAGAACTCACCCCACACTTACAGGACTCAGAGCTGACATGACAGGATCCCCTACTCTCAGGCAGGACTCCCCCCAACACTCAGAGAACCCAGAGCTGATGGGGCATGACCCTCTACCCTCTCAGTGTGGAAGACCTCACACTCACAGGCACACTGCCAGGGAATGTTGTTCTCTGCTGCCATCTTGTGTACTTCTTGGGAGTAGCACCTATTTACTAAGCCTCTGCTCTTACCATTTTGCAAGGACCTGAGAATCCTCCAAGGCACCTTACTTCTTCCACCTTACTTCTTACATAAGCTCAGGATGTCTTATATACCAATAATGGTAGGACCCACTACTCTCTCGATGGGAGTTCTCCCATAGTAACAGAATCTAAAGTTCATGCAACAAGACCTACTTTTTCTCAGATGGAACTTTTACTGAACTCACAGGACCAAGAGCTGATTCAATAGGAACCCCTATTGTCTCAGGAAGGGACCCCTGTCCATCCTCACAGAACCCAGAGCTGATATAACATTACCCCTTACTCTCTCTGGTGCGGTCCCAGAGCTCATATGACAGGACTTTTGTCTCTCTCAGGTAATTCTCTTCCCAAAATTTAAAGAGGACCCAGAGCTGATGTAAGTGGGCCAGGTACTGGCTCACAGTGGGAATGCTTTCAACACAGTGCACACCTAGTATTCATCTAGTCTTCATCTTTGTATAAAATTTTTTAAAGATTTTATTTATTTTACTTTTATAGAGGGGAAGAGAGGGAGAGAAACATCAATGTGTGCTTGCCTCTGGCACATCCCCTACTTGGAACCTGGCCCACAACCTAGACATCCGCTCTTGACCGGGAATCCAACCTGCAACACTTTGGTTAGCAGGTGGGCGCTCAGTCCACTGAGCCACACCAGCCAGGGTGTGGGTGTAAAACTTTTATTTAAAGGTTCAAAAGTGGGAATGAAGAGAGCCAGAGTTTTGTGCTGGCATGATGATTTTAAGCTGGTTATTAAGAAACAAAAGACTGAGAAAGAACCTATAATTCTCATCTCATTTCCTCCTAAGATAGTTAGTTGGAGAAACCTGGTTTAGCTATAGAACTTTATTATAATCACCTTAGCTTTAGAAATTCAGACTCCAAGCAGGCATTTGTTGACCCACTTACCTAACTCACCCCCATGTCCTATTGTTTTTGGCATTGTTTAACAAAATGTAACCTGTCATGCCCTGGCTGGTGTGGCTCAGTTGGAGCGTTGTCCAATAACCAAAAGGTTACGGGTCGATTCGCAGTCAGCGCATGTAGTTAGGTTGCAGGTTTGATCCCCTTTTGGGGCATAGGTGATTCCTGGTCCAGGCATGTACAGGAGTTGGTGCTTCTGTCACACTGATGTTTCTCTTTCTCTCTAAAAGGAATGAAAATATGTCCTTGGGTGAGGATTAAAAAAAAAGTTACCTGCATAACACCCATTTCACCTCTAAGGTCTAAGTCCCTGTTCCCCCATTTTCCAGAATGTTCTATATATCCAGTATTACCTCATTGTCTTTGCTAGTCATTTGTCTTTGCTAGTCATAGAAATTCACCTTCAGCCCTGGCTGGTGTAGCTCATTGAATTGAGCACAGGCTGCGAACCAAAGTGTCGCAGGTTCGATTCCCAGTCAGCATATGCCTGGGTTGTAGGCCATGACCCCCAGCAACTGCACATTGATGTTTCTCTCTCTCTCTCTTTCTCTCTCCCTCTCTCCCGTCCCTCTCTGAAAATAAATAAATAAAATTCTAAAATATTTTTTTAAAAAAGAAATTCACCTTCACATATATTAAACTTTGAATTTCTTCTGTTAGTCTGATTATATTAATTTGATTATTAACCCAGCTATTAGAACTTACAAGGTGTGAGGAAAGTAATTACTTTTTTTTTCATCCTGCATAGTATTGATGAGCCTGCCATGTGAAATTAATGTCTGGGACACTGCTAACTGCCGGAGACAGCTACAGCTAAGAGATCATGAGCATTGTCCAGCAAAGGTGAGCATTATTCTTGTTTGCTTTTTCAACCTTCCTGGTCTATTTCTACAGCATTTTGGTAGAATTTAGAAGTGCTGTGAGTTAATTTTCCTCTCTTCTACATTTACATTGGCATGAAAAAATATTTGTGAAGCTAGCTGCTTGGACTTGAAGAAAGTCATGAATTTTCTTTATTGAGTCATGGGTCTGTTTGCATCTGTTACCTGGGGTCCAGTGTCCAGCATCAGCTCTGGAGTCTGGCTATGGGGTCTTGGTGACAGATCTCAGTTCCATCTCCAGGCTCTGTGGTCTGGTGTCAAATCTGTATTCAGCTGTGTGCCTGAGGTCTGGGGTGTCTTTGGGTGTGGCTTTATGTCCTGGGTTCATGTGTGGGGTCCGTATGTAGCTCTGGCTCTGGGATCTGGTATCTGGCATTCAGGGTCCATTGTCTGCTTTTGAGCTCAGAGTCTATGGTCTGAGGTCTAGGTTTTGGCTCAGGATCTACTCCAGAGTCCAGGTTTCACAGTCCAGGGTCTGTGTCTGAGGTCCAGTCTGGCTCTGAAGTCTGGTGTCTGTCAACCACTGGTCATTGTCACAGCCAATAGTAATTTCCAGGTCGGGGTGCAGTGAAGAAGAAAATTGTATTCGGTGCAAATAGCTCAATTGTGATACAGCATGACTGTGAGAACAGCACAACTGTTGAGCAGCTCAGTATTGTTAGAGATGAATTATGAAGCAGCACAGCTGTGGAATAGCTCAGTAGTGCTACTTCTCAATAGTGAAGCATCATGGCAGTGAGGAGGCCCCAGGGTAAGGCAGTCCTGGGAGACAGCTCAACTGTGCTCTGCTCTGCTCTACAAGTTCTTGTCCAGTCTTGTCATTTTTTCTGTACTCTCCATCTAGATGTCTTCATCAGTCAGTTCAATGCAGGAGGCAGTATGGGGATCAGTGGTAACTATACCCTGAAGTACAGTTTGTGTGAAAAGCCTGTATAAAATGGCTATTAAGCTTTGTCTAATAATAATTTTTTTAATCCTCACTTGAGGATATGTTTGTGATTCATTTTTAGAGAGAGAGGAATCGGGGGAGACAAAAACACTGATTGGTTGCCTCCCATAGATGCCCCAACTGGGGAGCAAACCCACAATCAAGGCATGTGCACCGACCAGGAATCAAACCTGCAACTTTCTGGTGTATAGGATGACATTCCAACCAGCTGAGCCCCGCAGGCAGGGCTGTTTTTAAAATATTTGATGCCCGTTATCCATCAGGAACCCCAATTTGTAGGCATCTTTTTTGTTAGGATCCACATATCTGTTATGTGAACTGCCCAGGGGTTCTGTCTGGGATAAGGGTTTATGGGAGATCTAGACGCTAATATTCTATCTCAGCTCCAACTCGGTATTGAGAAGCAGAGGATATGCCTGGGGAATAAGGGAGTAGAGATCTGGCAGCAAAATCTCCATTCTGGTTCAAGTCCATTGCATGAAGGGCAGAGTGGGTGCCTGGAGAACAAGGCTAGGACAGACTTGGATGCTTTGATACTTCTCCATCTACGCTCCAGTCAGCACGTTAGGGGCTGAGGAGGGTGCCTGAATAAGGAGGTAGTAGAGACCTGGAGGGGAATTACCATCTGGTTCCTGTCAAATGTGTGAAGGGCAGAGTGGATATTTAGCTAAGGGATGAGGAGAGAACTAGAGGTGAATTATTTATCCCCTCTACATGCAGCTTGTGAGGGGCTTAGTTGGTTCTGGGTGAACAGGCAAGGAGAAACCTGGAGACAAAGTCTCTGCTGGCTCCAGCAAGTGTGTGAAAAGCAGGGGGTGTCTTGAGGTTAATGGTCCAGGAGAGTCCTTGAGTTGAATTCTGTGTCTCTGCTATGGCCAGTTTATTTGAGCCAAAGGGGTTGCCTGGTGAAAGGGACAAGACCTGGAGACAAATACTTCATTGTGACTCCACCAACTATATGATGGGCATAGGGTGTCCTGGGATCAAGGTTAAGGAGAGACCTGGAGCAAAATTCTTCATCTCAGATTTAGCCTAGTCAGTGATAGACAGTGGAGCCAGGCTGCTTGGGCAAAAGGGTGATAAGAGACCTAAATGCAATTTCTCCATCCAGTCAATCTATTGGGGGTGCCTTGAGTAAGAAGCAAGATAAGACTTGGAGGCAGTTTCTCCATCCCATCTCCAGCCTGTGTCCAGGCTGTGTTTGAGGATCAGAGGTAATTCCTGGAGTAAGCGGTGTACTTGAGCCAGCTGGAGATCTGTGAATACTTATTCACTATGTTTTCACATGAGCATTTTTTCTGGATGAATTTCCTCTGGGACATGTCCCTTGGCCCAGTTTAAAGGAGCATTTCTGGTGGGACCACTTTTCATGAGCAAATCCTGTGGACCGGTTCCCCAGGGACATTTTCTTTGGCCCAAATTTAAGTGAGAACTGCCATTGCGGCCACTTTTTGTGAGCACAACTTCAGGACTAGTTTTTCGGGAACATGTCCTTCTGGCCCAAATCAGGTACTTCCTGTGGGACCACTTTTTGTGATCACTGCCTCTGGACCAGATTTGGGAACATACTACTTACATTCCCTGTTTACCTGAGTGCAGAGCAAGAGGAGCACGTGAGTCATCCTGCTGCCATTTGCAGACTTTGTTGCCTCCTGTTTTGAGAGAACTTGCTTTTCCTCAGCAAGTTCCCTGCATGCACCACCAAGGGAAGAAAAGGTGAGGGGATAATTCCTGTGTGCAGTGAGGGGTTTTGGTCTTCGGAGGGCCGAGTAAAGGAAGGGCTTGGTGTGGGAAATGATCAGTTTTTCAGTTAATTTTTAGTGTTGTTTTGCACATTGCTTCACACCAGTGTATGAGGGCAGGACTGGTCCTACCTTGAGGGTTCTAGAGAGACCTGGGTGCAAACTCTCTGTTCCAGTTTTAGCCAGTGTTTGAGCAGACAGGATCCTCAGGGTAAGGGGTGCAATTCAGCCAGCTGGTGTGCTGTGAACACTTTGTCCAGGCTGGTTTCTCCTGAGCATTACCTCTAGACTGGTTCCTACAGCACACATCCTCATTGCCCAGTTTAAGTGAGCACTTCTGGTAGGAACAATTATTGTGTTCACTTCTCTGGGACAGGTTTGCTGGGCCTTTTTTTAATGGCCGGTTTAAATGAGTATGTTCTGTGGGACCACTGTTCATGAACACACGCTAGGGACCGGGTTCAGGAGTGCACTGGTTCTGGTCCTGGTTTCTGTGAGCATGTAGAAGAGAGTGAGAACTGTCCACTGTCACTTCAGGCCATGTGGCTGCATCTGTTCTAAGGAAACGTGGTCCACCTTAATGCTACTGCAGCTTTGGGGAAAACGGACCACATCTGTGCTCAGATGACCTAACATTTCCCCCAGGAGGCACTGCCAAGCTTTCTGTCTGCAACAAGTGCTGAGGGATAGGGGCAGGGCTGTCAGTCCTTCCAGGACCCAGCAGAGGAAGTGTGGTGAAAAATTGTTGGGTTTTCAGTTACTTTTTATTTTTTTAAATTTTATTTATTTTTAGAGAGGGGGAAGGAGGGAGAAAGAGAGGGAAAGAAACATCAATGTGCAGTTGCCTCTCATGTGCCCCCTTCTGGGGACCTAGCCTGCAGCCCAGGCATGTGCCCTGACTGGGACTTGAACCGTGATCCTTTGGTTCTCAGGCTAACACTCAGTCCACTGAGCCACACCAGCCAGGGCTCAGGTAATTTCTAGTGTCATTTTGCCTTGGCCATCTAGGGTTCTCAGCACCATTTATGTGGGTTCATTTTTGGGTTCTCCATTCTCTTCCACTGATCTACAGGTCAGTTTTTATGCCAGTACCAGACTGTTTTTGTCACTGTCATTTTAGTGGTATTGTGATGTGGGAAGTTGGAATTTAAAAATCCCACAATGTCTACACCACCCTAGTCATCCACAACACCCAAGGCACAGTGGCTTCAAATACAGTCTTCCCACCCTGCCTTTCGATGACATGTGGACTGCTATAGGGTGGACTAGCTTCACCACTTTTGGTGAACTGGGTCTGCATAGGACTTCGTCTCTCTAATGATTTTGGATTTCTCTGCTTTCCCAACTTTATATTGGCATGGCTGCTTCAAACAGTGATTTACTTGACAATGATTTCAAAACTCCAGAAAACTTCCCAGGGCAGTGCAGCACTCTCTCTGCACTCAGATTCCCAGCTGTCATCCCTTCACCGCATTTCATGTGGAGAACTACAGTGTGTTTCTTCCAAAACAGGTGCGCTGCCCCAGGGAATCACCACATACCACACAAGTGTGGAAATCGTAACGGTTTCCACATTAGAATCCAATCCACAGTCCCAGGTCACCTTTTACCTGGGCCTGTGAACTTTGATCAACTAGAGTGACCAAAACAGGCTGATATTGTCATTAAAACAGACACACAGATCAATGGAGCAGAATGGAGAACCCAAAAATGGACCTGCATGAATGGTGCTGAGAACGCTGGGCAGTCATAGGGAAAAAGACACTGTCCAACAGTGTGAAAGTGTCTTTTTCCATTCTGGACGCCAGTACTCTTGCCAAGACTTTCCCTCATTTCCACAACCTTTATGAATTTCAAGTGCACAGATGACTTCACTCTGGGTGGCCTTTTTGCCGAGCTTTTTTCATTTAGAATGTTTTCGATGTTTATCCATGTTGTAACATGTATCAATACTTCATTTTTTTCATTGTGACTAATCATATGCAATGTAACATTTACCATTTAAACAATTTGAAGTATATAGTTCTATAGCATTAACTATATTTACATTGTTGTGTAAATATCATTAACACCATACAACTTCAGAACTTTATTTTCCTCAAATGAAACTATTCATTAAACACTAACTCCCCATCCCCATCACTTGGCAACCACATTCAACTTTCTGTCTCTGGTTTTGATTTCTGTAGATATCATATTTATATAAGTGGAATCATATAATATTGGTCTTTTGGAGACTATTTTTTTTTACTTAGCATCATGCCCAAGGTT